CCATCTACTAACCATCCATCCTTCTACTAACCATCCATCCATCTACTAACCATCCATCCTTCTACTAACCATCCATCCATCTACTAACCATCCATGGATGCTAACCATCCATGGATACTAACCATCATCCATCCATTCTTCTATCCATCCATCCATCCATCCATCCACCTACTAACCATATATCCATCATTCATTCATCCATCCATCCATCCATCTACTAACCATCCATCCATCTACTAACCATCCATGGATACTAACCATCCATGGATACTAACCATCCATCCATCCATCCACCCATCTCCCCGTTTACCCGTCCAGAGGTGACCCGGGAGGGAAATCAGGCTCCACCTCTTCAAATGGTCATCATCATATTTCAGGAGCTAGCTCCTTCCTGAAGTTAGGGCCACACTCTGGGGGCGTTCCCCCACATTTTCACTCTTACAATTTTAAAATACGTTCACCTCCAAATTTGAAAGTAATGCAGATGCAGTGCGGAGAGTTTAGCAAGTACAGATAACAAAGACATCCCTCGTGTTACAAGAAATAATCAGGGCTCTAGGTTCGGCATGTATCCAGCGATGTTCTCCTACACACCAGAGAGTGTTTTGATGCAATGTGGATGGGTTTAGGCTGTGCTTTTTTCATTGACGAGGACTTGCAAACCCTTCAACGTACCTCAGTGCTTTCAAAAGGCTGCCATTTCCTGGCATACATGGATCGCCTATCGCTTCTGTTGCTTGATGTGTGGGTTGTGGGATGTTGGTGCGTTTCTGCTGTTCTGTTTTTGTAAATAATACTCTTACAAGCGGAGGTTGACAGGGACTGAATGGTTGCATCCCTCCAGAAATTCATGTGCGGAAGCGCTGAGCCCAGTGGGTGGGTATCAGCAGGTGGGGAACAGTGACAGGTGACAGGACAGATATGTGCGGTACTTTGGAATAACGGTAGCCCACACCAGCTCAACAGTGCCCCTTCCCAGAACCAGAACAGAGTGTTGTTCTCCCCTCTGTCCAGCTGGGTAAATGGAGCCTGGGGTTGTGGGGTTCATGCTGAAGACCTGGGCCAGCCCGGGCAGGGCTCTGCTTCCAACTCCAAGTGCCTGGTCTCATGCTGGGCTCCCTGCTGCCTCCCTGACCCATTCCCCGGCATGCAGTAGGAACGCCACCCTGATCCCCTCCCCGGAGCCGAGCAGTACTTTGGGACCCCTTGTTTGGACAGAAAACCAATGGCAACACCAAGCAAACAAAAGAGAGGCACATACCTAGAGCATCCAGTGCTGCTGATGAGAGCAGGACCCTGCCCATTGCACCCCAAACCATGCATCCCGGGTGACAGAGAAACAGGGAGACGTGCCCCAAAGCGAGAGCAGGCTGTTCTCTCTGGAAACCGATTTCCCCAAAATCATTTTTCAGAAAGAGAGAGAGACAAGAAGGGGGGAACAAGTGTCGGCAGATACGGTGAGGGGTCCCCAGGGAAAGAAAGACTAGGCAGAGTTTTCTTTTCTTTTTTTTTTTAAGATTTTATTTATTTATTTGAGAGAGAGAGAGAATGAGAGACAGAGAACACGAGAGGGAAGAGGGTCAGAGAGAGAAGCAGACTCCCCGCTGAGCAGGGAGCCCGATGTGGGACTCGATCCCGGGACTCCAGGATCATGACCTGAGCCGAAGGCAGTCGCTTAACTAACTGAGCCACCCAGGCGCCCTAGGCACAGTTTTCTTATCAGAAGACATGACATAGGGTGCCCGGAGGGCTCAGTCAGTTAAGCGTCCGCCTTCGGCTCAGGTCACGATCTCAGGGTCCCGGGATCGAGTCCCACATTGGGCTCCCTGCTCAGTCGGGAGTCTGCTTCTCCCTCTCCCTCTGCCCCTTGTTGTGCTCGCAGATAAATAAATAAAATCTTAAAAAAAAAAAAAAAACAGAAGACACGTCATTTTAGGCCCCCCCAACCATTTTGTGATCTATTGCCAATCAGCTCGACCCACCCCTGCACACTTCTTGCAGAACTTCCTAGGACGTCAGCATGACAAAAATATACAAAAGCTCAGTAGTTAAGGATTTTTTTTTTTTTTAGGGGAATGAAAGAATGGAAAAACAGTCTCTACCCAGCCAATGGAAATTGCAAGTAAAACCCTTCTTTTTGCTGTTCTTTGGTTTGGTTGTTTCTTTTGACCCCAGGGTCACAAAAAGGAGACCTCAGTGTTGGGTTGCAGTGGGGACAGAGTTTTCCCGAGGAGATGGAGACAGGTCCCCAGTTTCCTGCAACCCGGAAAGGCCTCTTGGAATTTCCCCCCTAGACAGGTTTTCCTTTCTGCAAACTTTTCTTCTGACAGCTGAGGTGGTCTGCCACCCTCACGCCCTCCGTGGATACGGTCTTTTCTGTTCTGCTTTGTAAGTTTACTTTTTTCTCTGTCCATTGGGTTCTTAGGGTCCCCGTTGAGACCCATTTTCCAGGTCAATAGACAAAGTCCAATGGTCAACAAAGGATGCTCTGTAAAAGGTGGGGAAAGGGCCAGTCTGTAGGTTTGTGCATGTGTGCATTTGCGTGTGTGTGTGTGTGTGTGTTACAGGGACTGTCAAAACCGCTCAGACCTCCCTCCTACCCTGAGTTCGAACCCCATAATGCATGCATAGCAAGAAGCCTGCTCCAAAAGGAGCTTCCTCCCTCTTCCCTCTCTAGGTCTTGACGTATGCCCTTCAAAGATCTCTTCTGTGGCACTTGGATACAACTCAGGAGGTTTCTTCAATTAATTTAATTTTTATTCTGGAGCTTAGAGCTTGATGCTCTCAGAGCATCTGCAAAAGATGATGGAAATTTTCATTTTGAGCCAAGGAAGGTGGCCCTTAAAAAAAAAAAAGGCAAAGTCAACTTAATGAATTAGAAAGAGAAGTATCCAAGATGCGTGTCGGTTTGAACATAAATTTAAAAAAAAAAAGTGAAAGCCTAGCTTTTAGTGCAAGTGACAATGCACATTTATGACAGCTGATGATGAGGACCTAGCCCCTCCGGGATAAAAGGCGAGACCAGGCTGCAGAATGTGCCGGAACGTTTAGGGTGGTGTGGACAGCACAATTTCGGCCATGGTACAGCCCAAGGGACCAAGGTTAAAGATTGTCCAGGTTTAGGTTTTATTTTGAAGGGGTGACAGGCCTGAACGGGAAGGTTCCCTGGACGGCGGAGGGGTCTTTGCATTTCGACTTTGGCTCAAAGCATATGTGGTTTCTTTCAGGGTGCTGACCTACCTCAAAGTGCAAAATGGCTGCAGCAGCTCCAGCATCCCTTTGCTGCCCAAGAAGAGCCTCCCGTGTGCCCAGGCCCAGGGTCCACATGCTGCACTGGCCGATAGAAAACAGGACACCTCCAAGCCTCCAGCTGTGTATGGTCAGACGGATGCCTTTTTAAGTTAAGTGTCCCTGCACTTGCCCCAGGCGGACCCCGGGGGTGCAGTCTAGTGCGTCTGGCCTGCGCTGTGTCTGTCTGAGCCAGGTAGGTGGCCCTAAGGTGACCGGATGCCCGGGGAGGAGGGACCCTGACTCTTGCAAGGGTGACGAGAGCGCGCTGGGTTGGAGCTCCCCGGTATGGGGGTAGGGTGTGCAGGGTGGAATGCAGGAATCTGACTCAGGGATTTTTCCCCCTTCTGAGATGTTCTGTACCCTGAAGGAACACGGAGAGAATATTAAGCTAACATTTCAATAATAAAAAAAAATACTGATAGTCTGGGACAGGGACCAGCCCCAAGACTGGGGTTTGGACCCTGGCCAGAGACCCACCAGGGCGCCAGCCGCCTCCCAAGGGGAGGCTTCTCCCCTTCTGCGTGCCCACCCCCCAGCTTGCGGTGGGGAGAGGCTTCGGGAGGCTCCTCCCAGGGAGGTCCCTGTTGAGGCTGGGGAGGAGGGGGTTGCCGTGTGCCTCCAAAGCCCCCACCCCTGTTCCAGGCCCTGTCAGTTCAGCCTGGACTTTGGGATGGGACTGGGGGCTGCCCCTCCCTCCCGGCCAGGGAACCAAGGTTCCAGGGAAAAAGAGCATTTCTCTTTGCCCCCCTTGGAGGTGGCACGCGGTCCCCGTTAGGAGTTAGGAGCAGGGAGGGGGTTTACAACGGAGGTTTCGCCCCCAAGAACGCGGATCCCGTTAGGGGCTGTAGACACAAGGAGGGGCCCCCACCTTCTGAACAGGGAGGGGATCACTTGCTCCCTTCGGGGCCGCCCTGGGGTCGTTAGGGGCCGGTAGGCAGCCCCCACTTCCCGAATGGGGAGGGGGTCACCCCGCTCTGAGTAACCAGGCCTCCCCCGCTTGTCCCCTGCCCTGCGCCGGCCCCGCGCCAGGGGTGTCCCGGGCTGCGGGCGGGGCGAGCGGAGGCCAGGGCGGGGCCACAGGGCGCCCCCCCCACCTCTCCCTCCGCCGGCCCCGCCCCGTGGGCACTCCCGCCGCCGCCGCCGCCACCCGCGCGCCCCACAACCGGAACAGTTTCTGCGCGGCGCGGGGCGCACCATGGCTCGCCGGGCCGCCCTCGCGCTGCTGCTGGTCGGCCTGCTCAGCACCCTGGTGCCCGCCTGGGGTGAGCGATTTGGGAGACCTCGGGGCGGGGGGGGAGGGGGAGCTGGCGGAGTGCCCCGGGGGCGCCGGCCGGCCTGGGGACCCGCATCGGGACGCGCGCGCCGGGACCCCAGGGAAGGCCGCGGGGGCGCCCTGCCGGAGGCGGGCCTACGGGGACGCAGCGGGGACCCCCGGGCCCTCCTCCCCGCCGGGGCGGAACGCGCCGTGCCAACGGGTAGCCAACGCCCCAAGGAGGCGGCCTCAGGGCCCTCCAACTTTTTTCCTGGGCGGGTTTGGACTTACTCCAGAGGCGAAATGCAGCGTGTGTTTTCAGACTCACAAACTCCGGTAGTTGGAGGCACTTGGCTGGGAGCCGGTGGCGCTTAGGTGCCCCCGGCCCGCGTGTGCGCCCCTGTGCACCCCTGCAGCGGCCCCGGGTCTCCCCTTGGCGCACCCCGGGCCCCCGGCTTTGTTCGTGCGCGGGGAGCCACGCCCTGCGTTCGGGCCTAAATTTGGACTCGGCTGTGCAGCCTGCAACCCCGCGGAGCGGGGGATGGGGGTAGTTTAGAACCACTTGGAGCGCTGGACGCGTTCAGAAACACTGTGTGCCCAAGCCTCCTCGGGGATTGGGGCGCTCGCTGCGCGCGCGGTGGAAGGAAACGTGTTCTCCGCAGACTGCCGGGTGTGCTCCAGGGGAGACTCCGGAAAACACAGAACAAGTGTCAGGACAAGGGGAGGCCCGGGGGCCTCCTCTCCCTCCCTCCCCCCCGCCACTTTACGCACACGCGGCCCAGGCCTGTTTCTGGCAGTTGCCTGTTTTCCTGTCGCTCTCCTTTTAAAGGGGAAATTGCCATGCTCTTTCTGTCTCTGTCTTTTGAAAAGGAAAGCTCGGATTTTTGCTGGGCGTGGCATTTTGAAAGCTTTTCCCCACCTAACGGTTATTTCCTTGTGCCGCAACCAACCCCCCCCCCCCCGGGGACGGTGGCCAGACTGTTAAGTGGACAGCCGGGCGCACGGCAGAGTAGTTTCAGGACCCGTCTGCTCCGAGGTGGACACGTTTTGCAACCAGGAATCATGACCCAAGGCCTGCGTGGTGCTGGGAATTTCCCCCTCTGTTGGGGGACCTCCAGCTGTGTGCTGGGGCTTGACTTTTGCGTCCTTGGCACCCTGGTTGTTTTGGGGGAGCATTTGTGAATTGATGTGGGCGCTTTTTAAATAGGCCCGGTGCCCTCTGGTGGCTTCAGGGGAGATTAAGCCTGGTCTTGGGGGGGAACATCTTGGAACATTTTACAGCCCGCCGGGGAGGGCCTGGCATGGCTATCCAGTTTCTCTCTTTCGTCCTGAAGAAATGTCCTTTCTTCCTTCGGCTGTGGCTGGTCCAACAGCAATGGGTTTGTTCCCCATCCCCCGCAGCGGTTGTCTTTCGGCTATTTGTTCGCCTGACAGCTGCTCAGAGGAGTTTTCATTGATCCCTCTGGGTGTGTGTTTCTGCACTTTGCCTTGAGCACCTCCCGTGTGCGGGGTTCCAGGGAGGGAAAGCCAGCCTTACGCCAGAACAGCAGAGAAAGGTTGGAACGATGGAGCTTTAGTACCTGTTGATCTTTCTGAGGATGCACAACCCCCCCCCAACCCACCCACCCACCCACACACACACACAGAAACACAGACCTCCCTACCTGATCCTTCTGGGGTTGGGGGCAGGAACCAGCCCTTCCAAAAGATACAAATGCAGGTTTTTTGTTTGTCTTAATCAGGAAAGTGCTTTCCAGTTGGTGAAGGTCAGAACACACTTTCCTATAGAAGTACTTGTTTGGCGTAGTTTGCACAATGGCTATAAAAGCCCATTGAGCCTGGGGACAGACCTGTGCTTTTACTAGCATGGGTGGGGCGGAGCGGGTGGATTTCAAAGTCCTCAGGACCCAGCCCCGCCCCCCCTTCCTGTCTTTTTTCTGAGATTCCCATGGGAATGGTGGGAGGGATGAAGGCGATGGAAAGAGGCGGTTTCACCTTTCATGGAGCTGGGTCTTCCCCCCCCCCCGGGATACTTGGAAATGCCTGGGGATGGTTTTTTTTGGGGGGGGGGTTGTCTTTTTATTTTTTTGAGGTGTGACACCTGGGGGAAAGGGTGCACGGCAGGTGGTGGGTGGAGACCAGAGACTCTGCTCAACACCCAACCATGCACAGGATGCCCCACCCCAGAGAGTCATGCCGCCCCAAATGTCAAAATGTGGGCTTGGTTTCTCCAGTTTCCTGACGAAGGCTCTGGTCTGCGCCTTGTGGGTATGGATTTCGTGGTCCTGCCTGTTTGCCAAGGACACTGACTGCCTGCCCTTTGGGCTCTGATAAAACTTAATTGTACTTTGTTGACCTGTGTGTGTTGGCGCTTTTTTCTGTTCTCAGTTTAGGAGGCTAACGCTTTTTTTTTTTTTTTTTCATATCGAGATAGGAAAATACTGGATTTTTGTAGATTTTTTTTTCTTCCATCTGGATGACATCTTGGCTGCCTGCTCTGATTTAGAACAGAATATGGCTAATAGAGCAGTATAACCAATTCAACATGAAGGGGTCCCAGCAGGATTTCGTGGATGGAATCTGGCCTTTTTCTCAGGGGAGGGCTTCCCCCCACGGGACCCTGAGTAGCACACATGTGGGCATCATGGTGTTTCCACCTCCTGAGATTTTCCAATGCACGGTGGCTTCTTTTAAGGGGAAAACAATCCCACGTGTCTTATGACTTACAGACGGGGTAGAGCTCTAAGACGGCTGTGTGTTTGGAGGCTCAAAATTACTCAGCATTCCGGGGGCGCCTGGGTGGCTCCGTCAGTGAAGCATTTCACTCTTGATCTCAAATCAGGTCTTGATTTTTGGGATCATGAGTTGGAACTCCTCTTCTTAAAAAACAAAATTAGTCAACATTGTGGCTCTACCTGGGATCATTCGGATGCCCAGAGACTGGAGCAGTGTTTTGTAGGATGCCCAGCCTTTGTGGGGGTCGGAGAGACACACGGGACACAAGACATGTCCATGTGTCCTCATGTGCTTTGTTTTAATGTCTGGGCGTCTGTCCCAAGTGAATCAGCAGGGATTGCTCTGGGACATCCTTTGGTCCCTTGCCGACTCTTGTGATGGATGACGGAGCGTGTGTTTAGGGAGGGATCTCCAAAAGTCCTTTTAGGGGCAAGGGGGATACAGTGCTTTGGGAAATGCTTTCTCCAGACAGAGGTGCATTTTCTAAACTTCTGAGGATACACCCTTGAGGATGAGTAGAATTGCCTCCAAAGAACATTGTCATCCGCACGGAACTTATAGGACCAGTCTTGCCAACTCTTTCCTGGTGGTGTTATTTGTTGGGGAAATCTGCAAGGGGACAGGAAGGGTGTTGTTGGGGGTGGTAATTACAGGAGACATCTCCCAACCCAGATGCTTTTTCCACGGAGGTAGAAGGGGGCAGAAAGCAGGGTTAGGATGGAATATGCATGAAACCCCAATCGCGGGCGATCCACACACAGCAAGTCCTCCTGCTTGCACGTGGCTGTGCGCAGATACCCTGTCATATACGTGAGCAGGCATTTAGCTATTGCAAACATTTCCATATGTTTGACAAAGAGAACGTCTGAAGGGAACGGCAGGCCTTCCCTTATGTTTCTCCTGTATTTTCAATGGGGACTCTTCTTTTTCATTTCTATTCGCCCTGAAACCTTACAGTGCAGGGACCCACGTAACCCACAGGGTGTTTCCACCCCAGTTAGCGGCTGTCAGGATTCGGTTATGTCCGCCCCGCTGTGGGAGAGAAAGCCGTGTGGACTGTCGGCGATCTTGGTGCTGCCATGCTGCTTGGACGCCTTGGGTGGTTCACCATCCAACACCAGATGGATGCGCGTTCCCGTGTGTGCCAGTGTCTGGGACTGAGAGATGGTCACTCACCAAAGTTCTAGTTGTATTTAGGGAATTCATAGTATCTTCCACACGCCTAGAGACACAACACTTCCCTTTCTTGAGTTTTTTGTTCTTCACTGGCGTGGTTGTTAGACCAGTTTAGGCAGATGGCACATGGGTGTGTTTCAGCTTTGTCTCGGAATGACTCAACGTTGCCACGGTCCCTCATGTGCCCTCTCTCACTAGCCATATTATTAAAAATCCCCTAAACAGGAAACCAGATACATCCTTTTTCCTGCCCCCACCCCCGAGTCGGTCGCAAGCCCGCAAACCAGTGTGTTTCTCCAACGGTAGCTTGGGATGCATTGATGGCCGACTGAGAGTTCCGTGGGCAGCCAGCAGTGCTGACAAGAAGAAAATTCACTAGAGGCTAAAGCAGCCATGTGTCTCATCGGGAGCCCGGCGGAGTGAGCATCCGTGAGGCTTTTGTTCCGTTTCTCTGTGTCTGGGTGGCCTGGGCCAAGATATAAAACGGATTTATTGCCCTGGACGGCAGGTAGAAGGCTTTCAATATACTTGCAGATCCAAAGCCCCTGCAAATCACGTTCCTTTCTCCACTTGGACGATTTGGATAGGTCCCCTTCGTTTTGGAAGATTTGGATAGGTCCCCTTCGTTTTGGAAGATATGGATAGGTAGGTCCCCTTTGTTTTGGAAGATTTGGATAGGTCTCCTTCGTTTTGGAAGATTTGGATAGGTCCCCTTCGTTTTGGAAGGTTTGGGTAGGTCCCCTTCGTTTTCAGATACATTGCATTGTATCAGGAACTTCACAAAGAGGAACATAGTTGCTCCAAGGGAGTGCTTTCTGAAACAACATAATTGTAAGTCCTTAAATGAACTGCCCTCCGGGAGAAGGGGGCTGAAGTAGCAGAGTAGCTGCATTCCGATGCTCTGGAAGGCATTACTCATTCCGACACAGCACGGCCAGAGATTTCTGGCTGCTTTTTTTCAGCGCTGCCTTTGCCACGCCCCCGTATGCTGGTCTGATTGCTGCGTGGCAAGCGTAAGGGATGCAGCGTGGAAGATGCATGCATTCGCTGGGGCGCACCATGGACCAGTGTTATACACGGACAAAGTATAAATAGATGATGTTGTCTTGACGGCAGAGGGTCTTGGAGCCATGTCGATTTTATAAATCCTGCAAGAACCCATCTATTCCCGGTTTCCTTCTAAGGCTGTTAGCTGTGTTCTCTTAGTGGAGGGCATGGGCTCTGTGCTCAGTGTGAACGGAAACTGTGGTGTTTGCCCCAAACTCGGCACAGGGTGTACCCCAACGTACCCCAACAGGATGAAGGGAGACCATAAGGGGAATGGTCAGCTATCTGAGGCAGACCAACACGGTGTGGCAGGAAAGGAAAGACGTGCTGGGGTTTCGCTAAGCAGGACGTGGTTGTGAACAGCTGACTCTTGCTCGGATCTGGGCTGGATGCTATGTAAAAGGTGAGGCCGCGGCCTCTTCCTGCTGGGGAACTTGCTTAAAGACTTGTGGCCTGGCTGGAGTGAGGTAGCACTCGAAGGGTGAGATGGAGGATTGACTGATTGATGACTGACAGGTAGATGATAAATGATAGATATAGTACACATGATGGATGGATGGATGGATAATACATAGTGACAGAAAGATAGATACATAGATAAAAGAATGGGTAGACAGATATATGGATGGATGGATAGATAGATAGATTGACAGATAGATATGATGGATGGATGGATGCATAGAATGATGTAGAGATGGATGGATAGATAGATAGACAGATGGACAGGTAGATGATGGATGGATGGATGGATGGATGGATGATAAATAGGTGGACACATAGATACATGTATACATACACAGGCAGACAGACAGGATGGATAGACAGACAGATAGCTGGGTGATAGATGTGTAGCTGAGATGCCCCAGGCTGTCCCAAGTGGCTCCCAGGTGGAGGTGTGCATATCTCCTTGCTCTGAAAGCAGTTGGACTCATCACAGCGAATCACAGGCATATCACCAAGTGACGAATGGGTCAGAATCCATGCATTCTGAGAAGGGGAAGCTGGAACGGAGTTGGGGAAGGGATCTGGGAGTGGGGATGACAGAGAGGAAGATGAGCCTTAGCCTGGCACCCTCTGTCGGGCTACAGGACAGGAAGGTTCCCCGTCCACGTCTTGGGATGCCAGTGCTTCCTCCCCTGAGGTACCAGCCCCGAGTCTCTCTCCAGGTTAGGATTATGCAGGTAACAGCTTCTAAACCAGGTCCATCTCGTTGCACCCACAGTGTCTCCGATGCTCTGTATCTGGAACTTCTCATTATTTTCTTCTCAACTTCCATCTCCTTCATTCCTATCCTTTGTGATATGGCCATTTGCCCAGACTCTCAGATGGAAGAGCCACCCTTCACTCCTGGCAGCTCCTTCCTCCCGTATTCCATCTATTACCAAATCCTGTTCATTTCATCTTCTGGATCTTCCTTGATTCATGCTCCTTCCTCTATTCCTGCCCTTTTTTTTTTTTTTTTTGGGTGGGGGGAGACTTGTACCCCTACCCCTGACACTTTTCTCACATGAATGGAAAAACCCTTAACTACTTTCTTCCCTGGACTTTTCAGGCACTTTTAGGAGGGCAGTGGGGACTCCTTCTCAGATTACTTCATGTTTTAATGCACAAGATAAAACATAACATTGCGGAGGAAGCCGGTTATATTAAATCCATTATTTAGTGTTCGGGTGGAGAAGATCCCAGGCTGAGGACTGTTCATCCTCTTGCCTGCCTCCTTCCTCTGCTGTCTGTCCTGATGCTTGAGCGAAGGTTGCAATTGCACACCTGCTCAGGACCCCTCAGTGGCCAGTGGAGGCCCAGATCCAAGGTTCTCGGGCCTGGCCCCAGAGCAGAGTCCCCTGGCAGCTTGGAGAAATCACTCTTGCCTAGGCCTACCTGTGTCATCGGATTTATGTTGGTTGGCAAGACCTGTCGCCTCGGGGCCATAGGGCCATGGGTGCCTGGCAGCTGCAGCGAGCTCTCCAGGTGTTGCTGTGTAGACCACAGAGGGAGCTGCCTCAGTAATGTGGCTTGACAGGGAAATACAGGAGATAATCCTATATTTAATGAAACTTAACTCCACACGGAAGAGAACTCCTCTGAGTCCGATAGGGAACTTATCCAAGACCGGTCACTCAGACCTCTTCAACTCCTCATGGATTCCATGTTCTGTCCACCCATTCATCTGTTCATCCACCCACTATCCACCCCTCTATGTGTGCATCCATCCACCTATCCATCCATCCGTCCACCTACCCATCCATCTACCTGTCCATCCATTAGTTTATCCATCCACCTATGCTTTATCTATCCCCCATCATTTATTTATAACTAACACCAATTTTTTCTTTTATCTAGCTTTATGTATCTGTCTACTATCTGTCCATCCATCCACTCATCCATCTACCCACATACCCACTCACGCGTCCATCTGTGCACTTACCCACACTCCCAGCCACTGGCTCTCATGCATGCTTTCAGCTAACATAGATTGAATTCCCAGTGGTATCTGTATTCTCTCTCTGCTGTGTGCTGGGGGTCCAGAGAAGAAATACCTGGCCCTCATCCTCTCTTCTCTGCCTGGAGAGTGACAAGCAAGGTATCCCTTCTGGTGCAGTGTCATGAAGGGGATCAGGGACCACTCTCCCCCAGAGGGTCAGAGAAGTCTCCCTGCATAAGTGGGAACCTCCGTGGGTAACAGCTTCTAACCAGGTCCATCTGGTTGCACCCACAGTGTCTCCGTGTGGGAACTCCATGGGCACCGAGTTTCCAGGTGGGAACCTCCGTGGGCACCGAGTTTCCACGAATAGAGAGACCTTCATAGCAGTGGAAGCCTGACGAAGCGGGGAGAGGGCTTTTCAGGCTGGGGGCGTGGCTTGCGGAAAGCAAACCTAGGTGTGTGAGATCACGGGCCTGTGGGGGAAGTTGCAGGTAGGTTGTCTGGAGGATGAGAAAAGAAGGCAGAAGCAGTGATTAATGCTGAAAGAACGTAGTTTATTTCTAGCTGTAGAGCTACCTGCAGGGGTATGTGATGGGTGGCCCTGGTTGCCAGGATATGGGTTTGAAACTCACCTGGAGGGTTTTGAGCAGACAGGTACATGTTCACACTTACCTGCAAGAGAGGTAAAGAGCATGGGGAGCGCGTTGGAGGGCAGAGGTTGTTGGCAGAGCCTGGATCAGGGAATTAAAAGCCTGCAATGTTGACCACACCTTGGTGTCATGTCGGTAAGCCTTTCAGACACGGGTGCCTGAATCTCAGCCCACAAAATTTCTGATTTAAGTCTCCGGGAGCATGGGCTGAGCATCAGGACTTATGGAATCACCCACGGCTGGGGTTCAGAAACAATCTCTGCAAACGCTGGTGAGGAAACGCTTCAGTGTGCTCAGGAAGAATGACAGAGGGCTTCTCAGAGGAGGCAGCATTTTCTTGGGGCTTTGAGGTATGAATAGGAGTTGTCCTGGTATGGGCAAGGAGAGGATCCGAAGGAAAGCTGTAGGTGCCCTAAGTGTGTGGTTCCCACTCCAGGACACAATGTGCTGTCCGGGTTTGTTGCGGGGCTGGTAAGATTTAAAGTTTTGAGGAGCACACAACCATGTGTCAGGCACTGCAGGAACTCCTGGGGGTACGTTGTTTGAACTGAAGTACGGTGATTCCTTCATTTTCACGGATCCCCTATTTGTGCATTCACCCGCGTGCTATTTGGAACTCCCAGATGAACACCGCCTGTGTTCAGGGACGGGCGCAGAAGTGCAGAGTATCTGAGTCACCGTCCAGCCTCCAGGTTGTCAACAAGTGTCCTTTTCATGTTCTGTGCAGGGGTACATCTTTTGCATTTTTGTGTCCTGTGCTTGGCAATGCTGACGAATAAATAACACAGACCCAGTAAGTTCTGTTTAAGCAGAAACATCCAGAAAACAAGGTCATGCGTTGACTCTGGCAAACACGTGACTGAAGGCTGTGGGATCCTAACGCCATCCACCCCTAGGGGCGAAGATGGAGTATCCGTGCACTCAGCATTCCCAACAGTTTATAGAACGTAACTTCCATGTCGCATGAGAATTGACTGTAATTAATAAACAGAACGGTCGAGTCTGCTTGGCGACCTTGGGCCAGTTTCCAGAGCCACAAAGGGCTCCATGAGCTGACAAAGTTTGGGACAGTCTAATGGGTCATTTGGGGCCAGCCCAGGTGGGCAGGGAGGGGACTGGTGTGAAGGGAACACAGTTGGGGAGGTGCTAGGGTTGGAGTGGGGGCTTCTAGTCTGGTTTTGGGGCTCATGCCTTGGGGAACAATGCCTTGGCTTCCCGTAGGGGAGAGACTGGTTGCCCCCTGGGGCCTGGGAGCAGCCCCCTGCAGCTGGGGTTAGAGTGGGGGCTTCTAGTCTGGTTTTGGAGCTCGCCCTTTGAGGAGCAATGCTTTGGCTTCCCGTAGGGGAGAGACTGCATGTCCCCAGGGGGCCTGGAAGGAGCCCCTGCAGCAACGGGCAGACAGCCGAGGGTCCCGGCCAGAGGGTAACAGAAAGGCAGGTGCACAGATGGCAGCCTGGTCTATCAGGAATGCGTTGGCACAGGGACCCCAGGGGACCGTGATGGTCCCCAACACCCTGCCCACGGCCTCACCAGATTCCCAGGGTTTGTGCACAACTTGACATACCTACCAGGGCTGTCCCCAGAGTGACCGTGAGAAAGACCTCTCCCCTCCTCCTCCACCACGTAGTAAACTTAGCATGAAAGGACCCGGCCCATCCCAGGCCCGAAGCGCCTTCGTCCCGGGGAGGATGAACCGGACCGGCTGCTTTTCACCTGCAGGCGCACGCGGAATCGGGGCCAGGTCGACAACCGGCGTGGGATTGAGGTATGGAACAGAGTTGACGTGAGCCATCAGGGTGTCACGACGCCCAAAACCGCCGTGGCCCTGAGCTTGGCTCCTCTGTGTAGCCAAGAATGTGCCCCCGGGGCTGGGCGACCGCCGTGCCGTGTGTTTACCGACAGGTGCGTGCAGCTCTCCAGCTTGGCTCCACCTTGGTCTTCCTAGCCCGTCTGTCACTGAGCCGCCGAGTGCATTTTTGTGCACAACCTGTTCATCCGTTGTCATGATGTCGGGTGTCTTTGGGAAGCTGGACCTGGGACCAGCACACTCCCGAAGCCTTGAGGACTCAATAAAACCTGAGGAATGCAGGGGCGCCTGGGTGGCAAAGCCGGTTTAGCACCAGACTCCCGCTCGTGCTCTCTCTCTCTGTCTCTAAAATAGATAAATCTCGAAATCTGTAAGGGAGAACATTCAGTGAGGTGTCTGCAAAGAGCACAGAGGTATTTCTGAAGCGAGTCACCCCGGAGGTCTTGCCGACGTTTGATATCCCGTTACTCCTACGAAAAAATATCTGGAAATGTGAGCAGTCCACTCACTGCCTCCTCGGTATTTCTCTTCTTGTCTTTCCCTAATTTATTTTATTTATGTGTGTATTTGTCTCCACGACTTACAGACCATGTGAACAAATTATAAGATTTGCAGTTTGTATAATTTATTGGGAATGCGTGTCGTTGGTTTTTATTCTCATTGTATTTCTGTAATTGTATTCTATTCATATGTTTATATGGTTTATAAGCTCTGTATAAATTATAATGTGTAAGTATGTTTAACGAACGTCTGTACTTTATTACAAATAATCATATTTTCGTCCTGTGACTTATTTCTGTCTCGTTTATAGGGTCTATAAGTTTATATGTGTATAAATTATACATTTCATAATTTGTAATTTCTATAATCTCTTATAATTACATTTCATTTCTATTCTGATTCTACTTCTATAACTTGTTCTGTTTTATCATATATGTATTTATATAATTTAAAAGTTCTGTGTATAATTATAAGCTACATAATTTACAGTTTCTATAATTCATCATCAATATATTTTGTTCCTATTGCAATTTTATTTCTATAAATTACTTCTACTTTTAATATAATTTATCTATAGATTTTATAAAGTCTGTGTATAAGTTATAATTTGCAATTTTTATCATTTATTATTATAACATTATATAACTATTATATAACATTATAACATACGTAATTTATTCTAAATTTACATTATAATTTGTTCTGTATTCTATGTATGTAAATACATATTATTTATTCCAAATACATGTCTATAATTCATTCCATATTCTATGTACAATTTTATATTCTATATATTTAAATATATATAATTTATTCTAAGTATATGTCTATAATTTATTCCATATTCTACATAGAATTCTATATTCTGTATATATGTAAATGTATATAATTCATTCTAAATATTTATCTATAACTTATTCCATATTCTATATAGAATTTTATATTCTTTGTATGTAAATATATATGTTATTTTAAATATATATCTATAATTTATTCCATATTCTATATAGACTTCTATATTCTATATATGTAAATATACACAATTTATTCTGGATATACATCTATAATTTATTTCTACTATGTATTCCTATAATTTATAAGCTCCCTGTATGAATCCTGTCACTTGTCATTTCTGTCATTTAGTATTATGCATATCCCGTCCTGTTTTATATTTCTGCAATACTCCACCATTGTGATAGAATTTCAGAGAAACCCGATTCTGGCTGGGTTGGCGGAATGGAGACCCAGGGGAGATGGAGACCCAAGGGGGATGGAAATCTGGGGGGGATGGACACCCAGGGGGCATGGAGGTCCAGGGGGGATGGAGACCCAGGCGGGATGGAGACCCAGGGGGGATGGAAATCCGGGGGGATGGAGATCCAGGGGGGATGGAGATCTAGGCAGGATGGAGATCCAGGCAGGGTTGCATCTGCACTCAGAAGCTGCCCACACACCCACGGGGGTTTTTAGGGACTGCACGTGGCTCATCCCGTGTTCCCGCGTGACTGGCTGATACAGGGCGGGAGGGGCTGCTGGAGGTGTGGTGCCATCAGGGTGACTCATGTGTCTCTCCGTCCGGCCAGGGGCAGCCTCGCCCTGCGTGACTCACCCCTGAGTTCCCCAGAACATCTTCAGCTTTGAGGGGTGTTGGAGCCCACAGGGCTGGACAGGCTTCCATGCACAGTGGTCTGCTTGCAGCGGGGACCAAGGAGCTACATGCCTTGAACGTTGGACACGGGGCCCAGGCTCCTGGTCCAGGTGGTGGCAGCCCTGTTTGGTGCTGTTGGCCCCGGGAGGCAGTGTGGGGAGTGGTCGGCTTGGGAGAGTTTCTCCTGGGACACGGGAGCCCCCTGATGTGGTCGCCCGTGATGTTGACACAGAATCAGCAGTGTTGGCTTGGACCTGGTAGACCAGTTGTGTAGATGGATAGATTAGATTAGGTTGGAAGTAGTTTGGGAGGTGTTATTGCTGGTCAGTGCTGCTGGGTGTTGAATCATTGCATTTCCTGAATGTTCCTGGGGGGGGGTTCAGCTGGTGGTGATGTGTGTGCATCCCTTTTGCAAACATCAGCACAATCTTGGAACGTATCTGCACGATGGGCTGGGTGGGGAGAGATTCATGTTCATGATTGAGTTATGTGGGAGCTGGCCCTTCCATGCCCCAGGATTTCTGTGCAGCTGTGTGTGGGAAGCACTCCCTTTTGGGGGGGGGAGGAGTCCCCTGGATTCTGTCGTCTCTGGTGAGGGTGTGGCTGTGTGACCAGGAAACAGCGTCCCCAGGGGGCAGAGGTCAGGGAGAGCCCTGAGACACAGGATCCAGGGTGAAATGGTCTCAGCTGAAAGCTTGGGAGTCTGGTGCGGGGTCCTCAGCCCATGGCAATCTTGCAGGGGTTCCAGCCCGGAGGTCGGGCTGGAAGCCAAGCTCTCGCTCCGGGGCTGAGTGCATTCTCTTGGGGCATGCTGGGGGGTTGGGGAGGAGGCTGGAAAGGGGGTATTCTTCCTATGCCCATCCACTGTCAGACTTGCCCTTGGGTGAACTTGGGGTCCTGGGAGCAGTGGGGCTCTGGGGTTGGTTTTAGTGACTGGATGGGAACGTTGGCCGTGGTCTGAAGCAGAGAGCCCTGGACGAGATCCCCAGCAGACAGGGCATCCTGGGGGTGTGGGGGGCTGGAGGGTGTTTGGAGAGCCTGCCCCCATCCCTGCTTGGTCTGCTCCTACTAGGTTTGTGTGGGGACCATGTGGGGGTCAGTGGAAGGGGCATGTAGGGGACCCATGACCTCCTCACAGCAGTAGAAAGGAAGGCTGGGCAGGAGAGGAATGCTCTTAGGGAGAGTGAGGTCCTGGTCAGTGGTTCTGGTGCACACAGACACACGCCCACGTGCACACAGACACACGCCCGCGTGCACACAGACACACACCCACGTGCACACAGACACCTGCTAACATGCAGTGCACACGCATACACACACATACGTGAGTCAGTACAGAGTCTTCTCTTTTGTTTGGCTTCCTGCGGGTTCTATCCATCACCATCTCTCATGAGGCAGAAATCACAGGAATTGGGAGCGTCACACGGGAAAGTCTGTATTTACGTTCACATGTGTTGCTGTTGGTTTTTGAGCATCCCAAAGAGCCCTGTCTGCTTCTCCTTTCTAAGTGTCCCCCTTCCTCCCGAGCATGACATCATCCCCTCTTGGAATCCATCTATGTCAGGCCATGTGCCCTTGGAGCTAGAAGTCCTCCCCAGGGCGAGGGAAGGTAGATGTCTGACTAAGCCTCGGCATGGTGATTTCAGGTGAAGTGTGTGCGGGGGGAGTGGACAGGTGTGGATTTCTATGTAAATACACGTGACCGCAGATGTGTATACGCATGCATGTTTATGCATATGCTCAGCGGGGTCTTCGGTGTTGGTGAAATCCCCACCTGCTGCCTCAGGGAAACCTGCCGTGTGCAGAAGGAGGTGTAATTGCATTTGTTGGGTCTGGACCACGTGGGTGTAGACACCATAACTCCAGGGTCTGAGATGGTGAATACAGCCCCACTGTGGTGCTGTTGGGGGTCCCATGTATGTTGTGCCCGAGACCACCTGCTTCTGTCGGCATGTTCTTAGTACACACACACGCACCCGTGCACACAGAGACAAATATACACACCCGAACTAGACAGAGAGATATATACGCATACTCATATACACAGACCACACACACACAACCTACAAAAATATGCACACACACAAGCAGCACACACACACATGTGCCCACATGCAAACCATGCACACATGTCCACATCCACACACACAAACCACACCCACACACACCTACATATATGGACACACGCACGTGCATGCCCCATGCACACGCGAGAGAGGACACAATAATAGAACACCGCCTGTCTGAGGCATCCCGTACAACTGAGCACATGCCCACATTGAGGCGGCTCTCATGCATGTTTGTAGAGCGTTAAACACCCGGCACTTCCTGAGGTGGTGCAGACGTCCCCTCAGCTTCTGGACCCTCCAATCACTGTCCGACCTGCGCTCAGTCCCCTCACAGCTGCCCAGACAGTCCACGCGGGCTTCTCCAAAATGTCCTTATGGTGCCTTTTCTGCAGCCCATCCGAAATGGGCACTAGGCAACAGCACGGAAATGCTTTCAATAAAAACACTCGGGACCGGGGAGAAGAACAAGGAACAGCTCCGCAGATTCCCCATTCTCTGCGATCCCAAGAGGTCAAAAAACAATTTCTGTGTTTTTTCGGGTTGTCTAGTGATTCTGCAAGCGATGCAGGTTGGCTGTGTAGTCAGAGAAGTTGGTCATAAAAGGGGATTTTTTTTCTGTCCGTGTGTGTTTTCCGTCACATACGGGAAATTATTAGTCATTTTTGCAGAGGGTCTGCTATTCATAAATGAGGCATGGGCAAAATTACCATGTTTTCCTACTGCTGTAACAAGCTACTAAATTTTAAGATCACCAGCCGTTTCGAATGTAAACTATGATCTAACGTTTCGGCGTAAACGTGAGCATGGTGAAGAGATGAGAAGTTCCACCTCCGTTATACGTTTTAAAGAGCGGCTAACTGTTGCAAACATCACGCAATCCAGAAAAATTTCAGGCCCCCCCCCTTTTTTTTGTACTGTCTTCTTAATTTTTATGTTTTTATTTCCCCGATTTCTAATCAGATTCTTTGTCCTCATAGGCCAAGATTTCGATTTGTCGGATGCCCTCGGTGGTGAGTCCTCTTGAAATTTAATATCCATAAAGTGACAGATGTAATAGTAAAATTTTGACTTAAAACAGACGATGAGTGTTTTGTCTGAACATGGTAGGTATATCGAAGCATGTACCGGGGTAAACGGACTCACGCAGGAGGAGGAAAAGCCGGACGCTCTGGGTAGGGGAAGTAAACTTTCCCAGTGGGAGAACCCCCATGCTCTTGGTCTCAGCACATGCCGTGGCCAACACCAGCCTGTGCACCTGTCCGTGGCAGTCCTGGTGGGCTCAGAATTCACGCTCTGACCCCCAGCCACTGCCTGAGCTATCAGGGGGAGAGGTGCTTTGGACATTTTCTGACTTTTTTTAAAGCTCATGGAGCATCGTCGAGACTTGGCACGGTTTTCTACCTTCAGGTCTTGCTGATTCAGTGTCTTTTCTCTGTAGACGACGACAAGAAGTCCACGCCATCCCCCAAGAGACCCAGCTCTGGTAAGAAGCAAACGGGCTGATGCCTACAGGAGAGATCCCCACCACGCGCACCCTCCTGCTCACCGCAAGAGCTGGTCGAGATAGAGACGAGTGGTTTCAGGGGCTCTGGACGCAGACTGGTTCCTACTGGAATGATGTTGACAACGTTGGCTACAGGGTGCCATGTTTTTTGGGGAAGACCGGGGGCTGACGTGTCTCGGGGATGCTTTCGGGTTGCTTGGACAGCGCGTCTGGATGCTTTTGCTCTGCTTTTGGATGTGCGTTGCCTAGGAGAAGCAATTTTGGGGGCTGAGATGCCCGTAGAACCCATGAGCGAACCCAGTCTCCAGCCGCTAGGACACACCCGCCCATTCTTGGTGGGATTCCTTTCTTTTTCTTTTTTTTTTTTTTTTAAAGATTTTATTTATTTAGTCATGAGAGACAGAGAGAGAGAAGCAGAGGGAGAAGCAGGCTCCCCGCTGAGCAGGGAGCCCAATGTGGGACTCAATCCCAGGACCCTGGGATCATGACCTGAGCCGAAGGCAGATGCTTAACCATCTGAGCCACCCAGGCGCCCGGTGGGGTTCCTTTCAAAGGAAAGTCGGGAATCGGGAACAAGGGTCTGCTCCGTTGCTCCTGAGCCACCCAGACAAAAACTGATGCCAAAATCATGGAGGTCTTACCACTGTTGATTCTTTTTTTATTGAATAGGTTTGTTTAAGAACAGGGCACTCCAGCCAGAACGTCCCGTCAGGAGTGAACACATAGCACCTGCTGTGTTCAGATCCACGTCCCTGCGTGCCACAGACGTGCAGAGGATGCTGGATAAGAGATTATTGAAAACCTGAATTTTCACAGTAGTTCGGTGCCTTGCGTTGGGCAGATCCGCCAACGTCCCTAGACATAGCTGGAACTTGGAAAGGGTTCATAAAACCAAGGCAACCCGTGATGCCACCAGGAAGGGTCCCATCATTGCGTTGAGGGAACCCCAGTGTTGGTGCATGCCCGCGCAAATCCCGTGCCTCGTATCTGCACCCACCGCATTGTGTCTGCCTTACAGAGGGTGCTGGCCATGTGGGAGGGGTGGTTTCGGACGGGAGGGGATTCTCGGCGGGCAGAGTTGGAATCCCAGCTTGGCCCGTGTGGCGCCATTGATTGGTACGTTCCATTTTGTGGGTTTTGTTTTGTGTCTTGCTCCTTTCCTCTGACAGGTGAGGAATTTGGCTCTTCTGTTCAGACCTGGTCAGACTGGTATTTGCAGACGTGTTTGGGGAGATGGGGACGCAGGGATTCCTCCGTGTGTTTAGGGAGCTGAATTCCTTCCTGGATCCTCGGTATTAATGGCCCGTTTCCCTTGCAGATGATGGTGGGTTCAGTCTGGAAGATGCCATCGGTGGGGGAGGAAAGAGTAAGTACCTTCGGGAAGTCTCCTGGATGGCTGATGTGCTTAGGATCACCAAATTATCATCGTTCCCAAGAGTCTTGTCCCTCTCAAGTCAGAACTAGCTGTTACCACAGACACGGAGAGCATGGCATGTTGCTATTGGCCCTTGGTGGGTTTCTAGTTTTCACCCGTGTGCTTTTGCTTTTATTTTAAAAAATGGGCGAGCATCGTTTGGAATGGCATAAGGTTGATGTGAGCACCCTTGCCCGGGCATGTGACCGGTGCACTCACTCACCAGGAGCCCCACCCTCGCTGGGATGGTTTGTTGCCGCCATATTGAAATTCTCAATGTGGTTTGAATGAGGGGCCCTGCATTTTCATGTCGCACTGGGTCCCACGAATTCTGTAGCTGGTCCAGGCACCTCCTTTAGTTTCTAATGGAAATTTACGGAACTATTAGAACTGTTCAGTTCTCTTGAGGGTAAGTAGGGCAGCTGGATGATGATGGAAAGAAATTGGCAGGTGGCTGTGTTTGCAGGTCCCCACCATGAGAAAGGATGCACTCTACTTTCCAGCTGTTTGGAAAACCATCTGTAGGCAAACTGATGTGTTTTGTTTTTTTTGGTTTTTGGGGTTTTTTTGCTGATTGCTCACAAACGCAACACTTATGTTTTACCAGCAGACGACCCAGTGCCACCTAAACCACCCAAACCGAAGCCTCATCCGAACCCCAACCAGCCTGGATCTTCTGGTAAGACCCCCCTCCCCTGCAGGGGTGCTGTGGGTTTCTCAGAGAGCGGTGGTCTCCCTGTCAGCTGAGAACAGGTCATTTCAGATTAGCGTGGGCTTTCTGGGATCTCTTTAGTGCACGGTCATTCCGGTTTTCCAGGAGTGGGAAATGAGTTTTCGAAACGATATTTTCGGTTTGGATTTGACTTTTGGTTGGCTGGGGTTGACTTCCAAGGTTTTGTGGACCTTTCCAAAATGCAATGGAAGATTTTACTTATTTTTTTTAATTACTTTTTTTTTTGACGGGGAGAGAGAGAATGCGAGAAGGGGGTGGGGCAGAGGGAGAGGGAGAATCCCAAGCACACTCCGTGCTGAGCCCAGAGTCCAACATGGGGCTCCATCCTATGACCCCCCCAGATCGTGACCTGAGCTGAAATCAAGAGATGCCCAACCAGCTGAGCCACCCAGGCGCCCCTAAATGTATAGAATGGATTTGGACAAAAGTATCAGCTTTTGGTTTCCCGCTGGAGAAGCTATTGGACTTTCAGCCTTTTTCCTTTTTCTGACACATTCCAGTATATTTAGAATAATCCGACTAGCACCTGTTTTCTGAATTGGACGGCTGTGTGAAGACTTCAGATTCTGAGTGGGTTTCTTGCTTCAGACTTGTTTAATTTTTAACACATAAAAACATAAATAGTCTCCATATTGTGCCACCGTCAACATTTTGGTGGTTGCCTTCCCTAGTGCTTTAGACGTGAATTTAAATGAACAGAATTCTAAGACCCGATGTCAGTCTTCTGTTCATACTCTTCCTTACCTCATGTTGTGCTTATTAATATTTCATAAGCATTTTTTTTCATTCCGTTTGGTTGTTTTTATTGTGTGCCTTTTCATGGCACTCATTCCGTTGCAACATCCTTAACGTCGAAAGTGCTGTGTCTTCTGATGCTGGAGAAATATGATTCAGAAAGCAAACTGAAGACACCTTCATACCTTTCTTTTCTTATTCCTTAAAAGAGATGGCGGGAGTCAAACTGTTTAGGTCCGTGTGTGCTGTGGTTTTTGACATTTTTTTTTAATTGCCGTCAAAATTATACCAGTGCATCCCAGTCCAGCTGTTGGTGCAAATGTGCGTGTCTCCTGCACACCGTTCCTGAGACTGGTTGTTATCACCTGGAAAAGTTTGCCGGAGGTATCCTGTGCAAGGTTACACAGCCCTTGGTCCTAATTTCACGTCTTTATTTAGGAAATTAAAGGAGATAAATTTGGAGTGTCAGTTGGCCACGTACAGTTTCTCTTGTGTGCGTTGCTTGCTTGTGTCTCTGGTTGTGGGTTACGTTCGAGGGTAACTGGTATGTCCTTCCTGATCGAGAAACCCGTTTCATCCACTTACGGATACTCTTTTCAGTCATTTATTATGAAAACATCTCCCCCCTTATTTTAGCCTTTGGGTATTTTTCCCAGTGCTTTTTTGGCAAGTGAGTCTTTAAATCTGTGTGCATATGTGTATGTGTTTCTCCCCGTGGGGTCTTTGATGTTTGAATGGCTTCCCTGCGTTTTTGCGGCTCTCTGTTTTTTTCCTTTTAATTTAACACTCACTTAGTCATTGTCTCTCATCCCTCTTGGGAGAAAGAAAACCGTCCTTTTATTGTCATTTGAACGGTTTCCAACGAGAAATCGATTTGAAGAGTGCCGACCATTTGCAAAATTGAGCTTTTTGCTTTGCATTCAGTTTTCTGTCCTTCTTTCTTGTTGTTGTTCCTATAAACGTTATTTCTAAATTGCTTTTCCCTATTAATGTTTGTTTCTGTGAATACATTTTATGCCCATTATTTTTCTGCTTATTTCTGTGATACAGAAAGGAATTTTGTACATCTTTCCTCACTGGCCACTTAATGATGAATCCTTATTACCTGTTAATAATTTTGCCTTCATTGTTTAGCTTTTATGGAAAGACTATCACACTATTAGCAAAATGATTTTTAAATCAAATGTGTATATATTTTTATGTTTCTAGTTTCTCTTTCCAGTTTTATTGTATTTGAATCATTTTGCCTTGGCTAGAAAACCCATATTAAATTTCATCAAGTGCATGTGCTTATCAATGCATATGAGCATTTAGTTTTCTTTTAACCTGTGAATATGACAAGGTATATTGAAGGATGTCTTTCTACACATTACGTCCTTGACTTCCTGGAATAAACCGTACTTGGTCATGATAGGTTTTGTTAAACTGATGGGTTAAATCTGGTATGTATTAGGTAGCGAAGGCTGCATAACAAACTATGCCCAAACCCAGTGTGGTTTAAAATTTTTTTAATTGTTATGTCTCGGGGTCCCTGGATGGCTCAGTCAGTTGAACATCTGACTTTTGGTTTTGGCTCAGGTTGTGATCTCAGGGTCATGAGATCGAGCCTCACATCTGGCTGGCACTCAACATAGAGTCTGCCTGAGACTTCCCCCTCTGCAACACCCCCCCTGTTCTTTCTCTCTCAATCTCTAAAACACATAAATAAAATCTTTAAAAAATGTGTTATGTGTCACGAGTCTACACCAGGCTTGGCTGATCTCTGCATGGCTGTCATGTCTGTGGTCAGCTGGTGGGTCTTCTGGCATTGGCTTGTCTGGGTGACCTCAGCTGGGATGACTAAGGTTTCCCTTATGTGCCTCCCACACCCTGCCACTAGGTTTTATGAGCCCATCTCAAGGGGCAAGAGCATCAACCCCTATTTTAAAATATTGACCCGGCTCCCATTTTGCCAACTTAACCATTGTCCAAAGTAAGTCATGTGGCCGGGTCCACAGTCAAGAGGTGGGCAGAACATGCCACCCATAATGGGGAGAGTGAAAACCTGGGGCCATTAGTGCCCTGAATCTATACCAGACAGATCCCTTTGGGATTATCTTATTTATATTCATCCAAAAGATTGGTATATGCTTTCCACTTCTCTTGGTATCTTTTTCAGGTTTCCTAGCAGAGTTTTTAGTAAGACGAATTTTAGGAGTTTTAAAATAGAATTGGGAATTCAATTGTCATTGCGTATTTGAGAGATTTCTTCTATAAAGTAGAGCCCCTGTTGGATTCCCCGTGCCTCAGATCTGCTTTTGATTCTAATGGTGTTTTCCTTCATTCCAAGACATCGAGACCTCCCTGACAGTCCCAGTATGGCAGATGACACTGTGTTTTTGTCTCCTAGGGGGTTTTTCAGATTCCGATCTCATCGATGGAGCTTCAGATGGAGGTAGAGTTAAGACTTCTTCTCTTTTCTCTCTGTCACCCACCTGCTGTACACGGTGATGTGAGGGTCTACAGTCTTACCCTCGGGGAAATCACGGTCAGCTGCTTGGAAATCTCTTCCCACCTCTGCCATTTGTAGATGCATCAAGGACGTGGCCGGTAAGACCTGCCCCACCAAGGCTGCTCCCTGGGAGCTGTGGGAGCTATCTATCGGCCATATGCATGGGGCTGGAGGCCAGGTGATCGGGCACTTCTCAGACATCGCCTGAACTCCCCAATCACCTGTTAGTTTTTCTTTTTTCTTTTCTGGATGACTATTGGGTGTCACCAATGACATGTGTTCTGTTACTTAATGAACGTAGAAATGAGAATGAAGTCATGTGACCCTCGTTGGCAGCATTACAATTTGAAATGCAGATTTTCCACCTGTCTCTTTAAAATCTGAGGTTAGAGTAGGGTCCAAAGCAGTACTTAGATATAATATATCTTGGATAAATAAGTAAAAATTTAAGTATACAATAAATATAAAGATATATGTGTTTATAGTAGTTAGTATATATTAAGATTTATTACATTTACATGTAGTTTGTCTTCACGTATACTTACAGTTGACCCTTGACCAACACAGGTTTGGTCTGCATGGGTCCATTTATTTTGATAAATACAATATAGTCCTGTAAATGTACTTTCTCTCCCTTATGATTTTCTTTCTTTTTTTTAATGATTTTCTTAATCGCGTGTTCTTTTCCCTAGCTTACTTTATTGTAAGACTATAGTATATAATACACAGAACATATAATGTATATGTCATTGACTGTTTATGTTATCAGTAAGCCTTCCAGTCAATGATAGGCTATTAGTAAATACGTTTTTGGGGAATCAAAAGTCGTATACGGATTTTCGACTGTATAGGGGGTTGGATCCCCTAATCCTCCTGAGTTATTCAAGGGTGAGTCACAGGTACATATCCTGGGATTCAACAGGAATGTGCCTTGGATCACCCCATAGCCATGGGCCGGGTCTCAGGTGGGCTCCAGGGCCCTGGCTGGGATTCTTCCCGAGCCCAGCAAGAGGGGTCAGAATCCATGAGGCACCCAGGACTTACTGGCTCACCTGCAGCCCACCATGGGAGGAATGGTTGGAGTCAGGAGCTGAGCCTGGGTGTCACGCATATGCAGGCAGGTCCAATGATATGTTTAGCAAAGCAGGAACTCAACAAAGGGAAAAGACTCTGTGAGTTCTTTCACAACTCAGGATCCCAGTAGTTGATCTTTGGGATGAGATTTTCTTTACCAAAACTCTTCCCAATGCAACTTGTCTGCAAGCCTGTTTCTCTCTTGCAGGAGGTGGTGGCGGTGGTGATGGAGGAAGCCAAAAGCCTGATGGGGGTGCGCAGGGTATGTACACATGGTTTCTGATGTCTTGGGTTTCTTATATGCACTGTTGAGAGAAAGTGGAATGCAGCGGTCAAGATCAAACCTACAGTGTTGGCTCTGTCATCCTAAAGACGATGGCCTGAAGCATCAAAGTGCAATTGCTTTGCGCCGTGCATGTCCCAAGTGCTCTGCTGAAGTAGCTGGTTGAACATCTTTAATAGACTCAGCAAGGGGGTGCTGATGTGACCCACAGGTTAAGTTTACTCATCTACCCACAGTGTCCTAAGAAGGAATACCGTCCATATTACCTGGGGTTCCCCAGAGAAACAACCATTGGGATCTATCTAGATACAGATGTAAGTGTAGATATACAGAAAAAGATTGATTATAAGGAATTGTCCCACATGATTATGGATGCTGAGAAGTCCCATGATCTGCTGACTGCTAGCTGGAGGACCAAGAGAGGCACTGGTGTACCAGGAAAGCTGGGAGTGCAAGTCCCCACCTGAGTCTCAGATCCCGAGAACTAGGAGTGCTTACGTGCAAGGGCAGATGAAGATGGATGTCCCATGTCTACGCTCTGTTCTGTTCAGGCCCCCTGTGGATTGGTTGATGCTCATCCTCATTGGTGAAGACCACCTGCTTCACATAGTCTGTAGATACAAACATTAATCTTTTCTGAGAACGTCCATATGGACATACCCAGAAAGAATGTTTTCCCAGCTATCTGGGCACCACTGAGCCCAGTCAAGTGGACACAGTTAACCATCACACCATCCTTGATTGACTCATGGAGTGGGATGTCCTGGGCGCCTGCCATACTGAGAATTGGTTGGTGTCCACGTGGCACAGATACACGTAGTGTGAGTTACTAATAGTGCATGGAAACTCCATTCCAGTAAATCAAATGAAAGTAGCAAAAGGGGTCAGTGGCTTTGATTTTCAGAAAATGCGTGAAGAGGATGATGCCACACAGCCTCTGAGTGGTCCCAGATGGGCGCCATGCACTGTGGGCCATGTTGCCTTGCCTGAGACCTTCCACCTTTGACTGTTAGGCCACAAGGATGGGAGGAGGCAGAGTGTGTCATCCACCCGAAACCTGTTTTGCATTGGAAGCGATACGCATAGTCAAATGAATTCCAATTCCAGGTGGGACTTTTGAGGAGCGGTATGGCTGGCCCTTCGTGTCATGCAAATGGATTGGAGGCACTACTGGGAGTTGGGCAAGGCTCAAGAGTGGGGTTTCCTCCATGGACACCCTGGGATCCTGTGTCTTGACGCTCAATCCTATCTTTTTCCTGTGGGCGGGGCCTCCAGCCACTTGTCCTGTGCGTGGTCTGCTCTCCACGAGTGTTCCCCGTCATGGTGCCCTATGCTTCTTCCCACAGCTGACTCCCCTGGGGTAGTCCCTGGCATCATCGGGGCCGTTGTGGTGGCCGTGGCCGGAGCCATCTCTAGCTTTATCGCCTACCAGAAGAAAAAGTTTTGCTTCAAAGAAAATGGTAAGGTTTTTGTGGGGCCGCTTCCTTCTCTTCATGCCTTACTAAGTTGAAAGGTGTGCTTTCTCAAAACTAAAACAATCCAGAAGTCCCCTTGGCATGAGACACGTGTGAGGTGGCTGATGGTTCAAGAGATCGCTGGGATACTGCAATCAGACTTTGTAGCTTCCATTCCAGCACCGTCCGTGTGGAGTTGTGCAAATTTTGCAAGTCACTAACCACCCCTGTCTTTGGGTTTTCCGTCTCTAAAGCGGGGAGATGATTATCGGCACACCACAAGACTTTTGTGAGGATCCATAGGGTTATGTGTGAAAGTCTTGACAGGTTGGTTGAAGAAATGTTAGCTCTTGGAAATGTTTATTCATCCTTATTTATAATTGCTGTCATCTTCATCCCCCTTAGGGCAAGAGCAATGGCTGGGGAGGTGGGGGGCGCCATATTGCTTTCTCCAGACAAGAGAATTAAAATTGAAATGCAGGGCAGCTGATTCCTTTTCTGGTACCACCCTGTACTGACAAGTTCTCCGGAGGGCTTTTGGGTGGGATATAAAATTTATAGGGGAATGTGGAGGATGTCACATCCACCAACATAGGGATTGGAACTCCATCGTTGGATGTTTGGGGACCAAATGGGCAAGAGTCCCTGAATTACATAGGATTTGCTCTGACATCAGTAAGTTGGATTTTGAACATAGCTCATATTCATGCATCTCTGGGTTGCTCTAAGTCTTGCCTTCCTTCTTGCAAGATGAACGCAAAGGGTAGACTCTGATGTGGCTTTAGGAGTCCTATGGGCTATGGATGGAGCCTCACGGTGTCTAAACTTCTCAACCTGCCTGTGGTTTCAAGCCCAGATTCATACTTAGCCGTTGACCTCCATCCTCAAGGACCATTGCCTGAGGACTCTAGGGAAATTCACAAAAGATTTGAATAGATGGTGATACAAAATTTTACTATAGGGAGGGAATCTACCCTAAATCTCCCATCATTCTAGATTTTTAGATTCACACACTCTGGTTGTAACCCGAAATTGAAAGTCCCAAACAGACTGTGGGTTCAGAGATTTAACATAAGCTGCTGTTTGGCATCTCTCTTCTTGCGGCGAAGGGGAAGGTTGCTTGAATATGTCTATTTCCCACATGTGATAGGGTGCCTTCCCTCAGGGGCACTCAGGAAACCGTGCTCGGTTGCCTGAATGTTGAGCATCCAGCATGTCCAAATGGACAGATGACTGAGGTGAAGGACGTGCCCAGAGGGAGAGAAGACCAAGGTCAAGGATGTGCCCAAATGGAGAGAAGACCAAGGTCATGGACATGCCCAAATGGAGAGATGACCAAGGTCAAGGATGTGCCCAAATGGACTTCATTTCTGCCCCCCTCTCTGAAGAGGCTCAGCTTAGAACATGACACCCAGACAGGAGAGGACGAAGGCATGCCTGCTAAGGAAGGATGCATGACAAGTCCGGGCACAGCGATTTTCTGAAAATCTGTAGGTGACTTTCAAATCCAATTTGGATTTCCAAATCCATTCAGATTCTGGAGTTGCAAAGCATTTCTGTCACCTTGGGTTTGGGATATATGACCCCCCTGGATGTTATGATGCCGATTTGACATTCATATGCCAAGGCACAGGGATTTGGGGAATGACTCAAGAATCTTAATTGACTTGACATTGTCCCATACTTGGAATGGGATTAGGGACTTGGAAACCCAAGTGTTCTCCATCCCCCTGTACCCCTTTCCTGGGTCTTGGTCTTTTTCCTAACAGGGGGTGAAAACAGAAATTTCCTCAGGTAGATACAGTTGAATTCCCTCATTTCAAAAAATAACAGCATCCTTCCTGAAGAATGGGCTTCGGGCAGTCCGGGACTCAAGATATGCTCCTGAACAGCTAGCTAAATTCATTTACCCAGAATTCCGTACAGTCTCTCATTCTGCATGAGCCAAATGAACATTGGGGGAGACTTTACAGTCTCGATTTGCTTTCTGGTTTTTATGGGGTTTATGATATTCGCTGATGTAGATGCACAAAAAAAATGTCGAAGAAAAAAAAAAACGCAACGAGGGAAGGAAGCTAGTAGTTCTGACTTCAGTCATTAGGTGCCTTTGTCTGTAGCTATAAAATGCCCCGTGTTAAGACAAAGAAAATTAGGTGCTATTTTTCTGTAAACCCCAGGACACTGATGCAGGAGAATGAGTCTCTCTTCTGAGTCCGCCAAGAGACATTTTGGTGTTTTTGACCTGTGTTGGTAGATGAACTCAGTGTCTGTGTCCGTGATGCCTTTTTATGAACAGACATAGAATTGAAGTGTTGGATGCAGGCATTGGGATCGTGAACATCCTAGGCCTTTCAGTGGAGTCTGTGCAGGACTGTTTGTGGGTTTTCTTGTTGGGATGGTGGTTTAAAGAAGTGCATACCCATGTGTAGCTGTGAGCTTGGACATTTCCTAAGAAGGATGTGGCCACAGCGTGTCCCAGTGCTTGAAGAAACCATGGTTTTGGGGGAAAACTATTGTTTTACAAGAGTGGTTGTTTTTATAGAGGGTGGTTTTCCAGGAGCTTGTCATTGCATTGAATTTTGTAGGGTCTGTTGAGTTGTGCGTGAAGGTTAGTCTCCATCAAGTAGGTGCTCTCTCAACGCGGAGATGCATCCATCAAATACTGGCAGTTTTGCTATACATTTACTGAAGCGCTTTTTAATATCATGTTCCGGAACAGTATCCATGGCCCACGAAATTTGGTGCATCTGTCCTTTATTCCTGGAGATTCTGATGTGTACCTCCATTCCTGCACATTTGGATGTGTTTGGATGAGTTTAATGTGGTTTTCTGGCAAATGGTGCATGCTGGTCTGTTAGGAGCCATTTTGGGCGTGGGCTCGTGGCCGACGTGCGTGTTTGTGGCTTGCGGTGTTGGCTTCAAGTGACGGGTTTGAGCAGCGAATGGCGTGGATGGTGACCTGCTTGGACAGAGCGCAGCTTTGGGTGGCTATCACTTGGTGGGCACGATATGCTGGCCGTCCGTGTGCGTGGCGGCTGATTCGTGCGCTCACAGTTTCCAGTAGGTGCTTGAGGTGTTCCTGAGCCGACCTGCTGGTGTGTCCCTCGCCTTCCCCCTCCGTCCCTGCTTCCGTCCGTCCTCACCTCCACCTCCCTGTCCTCTTTGAGTTTGTTTCCGTCTCTGATGCGCAGCCGCCCGTTGCACCTTGGGCTTTCAGCGTTGCTTTAAAAAGAAAACCAAACCTAGAAACCCGCTCTCCTCCCGAGCGCGAAGAGTGTCTTTGTCACACCCGGCGACCGCTGCCTGGGGCTTTGGACTCGCCTGAACCTCTCCGAAGTTTACCTTTTTGCTTTTTGTGTTGTTGTTTTGTTTTCATTTCTCGACCTTTCGTTTCAGATGAGCCGAGGATGTAGGGACGAGCAGGAAACCTTGCGCGAGCCTGGAGCTGCTCCTGTATGATCCGTGCTTGTCCGCTAAGATGCTGAGTCTAAAGCAAACCCTGGCGTTTGCCCTGCTCCCTATGGCTAGTCAGTTGCCATGGTGATGGGGATGCCTCCCAGATCCCGGATTCTGTGTATCCACCCCACACCCTCCCCCTGCAGATGCACGGAAGCTCATACTCTTATGTCGCATTAACGCGCAGGTAGCTTCAGGACGGGAAAAGAGGAATGCAGATATTTTCTCGTAAACTTAAATCCGAGGGAAAGAAACTGCGGCGGGCTGGGTGGCGGGTGGGGGTGGGGAGGGGGCGCTTCTATGCATTCATCCTGTTGGCGACCGTCCATGAAGTCAGTGAACTGGGCCAGCCGGGGGGTCCCGAGGCAGAGCCCACCCGGGTCGTAGGGTTTCGCTTTGCCGTGCAACTTTCAACGTCTGATTTACCAGCTTCTGCAGTTCTTTGATGCGTTCCCCACTCCTTGTTTCACGAGGCAGTTCCTCACTGTCTCTCTGACCCATTTTTTTTTTTTTTCAAAAATACGTGAATGTCCCGCTTGACCCACTTCTCCAGGGGAAGAAAGAAAAAAAAAATCCACTTATTTAGGAACCATTTAAAAATCTCACGATCTTAGAATGTTAAAGTCCGTCAAGAACAGGGTGGAGGTTGTCCGAGCATCCGTGCATCCTGGATCTTCCCATAAACGTGAAGTCGTCCGTGGATGTCCCCCGCCCTCTGCCGTGCATGTTCAGCCATCTCCTTCCCCTGGGCATAAACACTGCTTTTCTCGTCTCGACCTCGTGCCGAGGTTCAGCGTCATGTCTGGCCCCGGGGGTGGGATGGGGTGGTGATGATGTGAGGCCTGGGTTGCTGGCAGGTTTTGGGGTTAGCATGGGTGGTTAATGGGGAGGTGAGCTGTCATGGGTGCTCTAAATGCTTTTCTTGTGGGTCGGGTCCCCCCTCCGTGGTCACCTTGGCCACCGCCTGGCTCTTTGGAGGATGTCCCTGCAGATTTCTCGGTTCTTATAAAATAAGGCTTATTCCCCAGTTAGCGTAGGGTAGGTGTGAGTCCAGTGTGTGTGTGCCCTCTGCCCCCAAGAAGGAAGTCCTCCATGTGGCCTAAAATCAGGTGCTGCTGGTCGGTGGTCCCGCAGGGCTGTGGTCTTGGCTCCAAATGCATGTTGTGTATATACATAAATAGTCCCCAGGCACGGAGTCCCAATAAGCTGCCATTTCCATGATGGTTCTACTAGGGACGAATGGTCCCTAGTGCAGATGAAAAGCATGTGCATTGCTTGTGTTTATTTTGAGATGTGGTGTGCGTGCCCTTTTCTGTTTGGAGGGCAGGGCGAAGTGGGTGGGATGCGGAGCGCATCCTGTGGAACACGGTGTTCCCTTAGGGGTCAGGGGTGCGTGGTGTCCCCAGGGCATCTGGGAGATGGGGAATCTGGCTCTGCATCCCTGATCGTCACAAGGCCTGGCCTCCCTCTTAAGTGTCACCCCCCCCACCAAGGGCTATGTGCAGCTCCAGCAAAAAGCATTGTCAGCAGGATCTGGGAGAAGCGCCCGGGTGACCAAGCCCCAATGGTGATGGTGTTCGTGCTCCGTGCGGCGTGAACAGGGATTCTGGGGAGCAGGGGTTGTGTCCTGCTCCCCAGAGGGCAGACACCCGTCCTGTGTTCTGCAGTGTTCACCCTGCTCCCCATGCATGCAGATTCTGGGGTCCTGCTCCCTCCAAAGTGCAGCCATGTCACCGGCGTCTTCGGAAGGTTCTCTGAAAGTTGGCGGTGTGTGACGCCAACACCGAAAAGCGTCACAACGGAAAATGCCCTTCCACGTGTTGTCCCCAAACGGACATTGCCGTGACGGCGCTTCCTTGTTCCAAGGGTCCGTGTTGCCCTTTGTTCTTAAATGTAGCCGGATGAGCTGTCCTGTTGCAATCTGCTCGAAAAGCCGCATGTGCCCCAGACCGCCACCCACCCCCTTCCAGCAGAAGACACGCCATTGGTGCGGTCACGGTCCTCTTGCAACTCTGGGTCTCCAGCAGGGGTCCGCGTCTGGGGCTGGGGAGTGGGGACAGGGCGACTGACAGTGGGATTCCTCGCACACCCACCGGGACCGGTTCTTCCATGACCTGCAGTTGAAGGCGCGTGGTGTGTTTGCTTGCAACGGCATTCTCGCCCCGAGCGATGCACTTTGCACAAAGTCTCAAGCTCTCTGAACGGTCTTGGATGTGCTTCTCTTAGGGCCCCTACACGACGTAATCGAGAAATAAATGCCTTTTGCCAGTGAATCTGTGTTTGCCAGTCTTGAATTCCATCAACTTGTGCTGTGTATCTCCGTGGGGGGACGGTTGGCGGCCACGGTCGTGTCTCCTCTGATGCCTATTTGACACATTCCCAAAGAGAAATTTCGAAACAAAAATTTTTTTTAATTGACCGAGAACAAGAAAACCTGAAATCAAGCCAGTGGGACCCCGCGAGGCCCCCTTAGCCTTCGATTCCCTATGGACGGAGCTGCCCTGGGTGGGTCTGCGTCTCCGTGCCTCCAGGTCCCTCTGATTTGGGCAGGTGGGGAGGAGGGTTGGGGGCTGACTCCGCTTGGCGGTGACATGAGGGGGCCTTCTCTGTGTTCACCCCCTTGGGGCATCTTTTGTGCTTTCTTTCAGCCGACCAAGGTGAGGCCAGCACCAAGAACCAGCAGAGCACCAGCGCCGACCAACCAGGTGGGTTGCGGGCCCTTGGGACGGATGTCTTCCCACGCGCGGGGCGTTGCATGAGATCCTCCGCGTCCCCTTCCTTCCCACCGCACGAGTTCGGGGGATGGGGTACATACCCTCCGGGGCTTGAGGCACAACTTTGTGTCACGTTCTTGTGGTTCCTTGTGCAACATCCTCCTAGGAGAAAATGCCTTCTCCTATTTTTTTTTTCCCTAATTTTTCTCCTATTTTTTTCCCCCTACTTTTCCTGGAGTATGTATTTTTTTTTCTGCAAAAAAAAGTCTATATTTTTTTTCCTAGTTTTCCTGGAATATGTATTTTTTTTTTTCTAGGAAAAACTGCCTCTACTATTTTTTTTCTACTTTTCCTGGAGTATTTTCTTTTCAAAGAGAAAATGCCTTCTCCTATTTTTTTTTCCTACTTTTCCTGGAATATGTACTTTTTTCCCTAGGGAAAAATGCCTTCTATATTTTTTTTTTCTATTTTTCCTGGAGTATTTTTTTTCCTAGGAGAAAATGCCTTTTCCTATTTTTTTTCCTATTTTTCCTGAAATATGTATTTTTTTCCCTAGGAAAAAATGCGTTCTATTTTTTTTCCTATTTTTCCTGGAGTACTTTTTTTTTCTAGGAGAAAATACCTTCTCCTATTTTTTTTTCTTGCTTTTCCTGGAGTATGTGTTTTTTTCCTAGGAAAAAAATGCCTTCTATATTTTTTTCCTATTTTTTGTGGAGTATTTTTTTTCTTTTCCCTAGGAGAAAATGCCTTCTATTTTTTTTTCCTGCTTTTCCTGGAATATGTGTTTTTTTTTTCTAGGAAAAAAATGCCTTCTATATTTTTTTCCTATTTTTTGTGGAGTATGTTTTTTTTCTTTTCCCTAGGAGAAAATGCCTTCTCCTATTTTTTTTCCTACTTTTCCTGGAATATATACTTTTTTCCCTAGGAAAAAAATGCCTTCTATATTTTTTTTTCTATTTTTCCTGGAGCATTTTTTTTCTAGGAGAAAATGCCTTTTCCTGTTTTTTTTTTTT